TCTGGTTTACGATCGACCAGGAGGACCTCTGTCTTGTCAGGATTAATCTTCAGCTTGTTTGTCCTCATCCAGATAGTCACAGCAGTCAGGCACTCGTCTAGCACTCGAGGGGCTTCCTTGGAGTTAGGTGGAAAGGAGTAGTAGAGTCGTGTGTCATCTGCATAGAGATGGCACCCAACTCCAAAACTCTGGATGACCTCTCCCAGCGATTTCATGTAGATGTTAAAAAGCATGGGAGACAGAATGGAACCTTGTGGGACCCCACAAAGGCCAGGGGTTCGAGCAGGCGTCTCCCAGCTTCACCATCTGGGATCGGCCCTCCAGGAAGGACCGGAGCCACGACAGAGCGTACCTCCAAGGCCCAGAGACAACATAAGCAGAGCATCTATCCTGAAAAGTTGCAGAAAGTTTAACTAATTTACTAATTTTTAGGAATTTCTTTTTTAAAATTCGATTAAAAAATATTTTTTTAAAAACCTTGAGAGCTATCCCTTTGAACGAGACAACATAAGCAGGACATCAATCCGGCAAAATCGCAGAAAGACTCGTTTGTCTATTGATTTTTTAGGATTTTTTTTTTAAAAAATCAATTAAAAGTAATTAAAAAAACTATAAGAGATATTTTCTTAAATTGTTGCATGGTGGGGCAGCATGATCAGGGCGGCAAGCCTGCTAAGTTTCATAACAATCGGTCCATCCACTGATTTTTAAAGAATTTATTTCAATTTAAGCACATCCCGCCTCTTGTTCTTCCTAGTCTTCTCACATGGAAATGAAGGGGTTCCACTTTGCTGATGCCAAGCAGAACATCCCCTCTGGCGGATCGATGCCTCATGTCTACAGGTGAAGAAGGGCGGTTGGGATGGCTTGGCGGGATATATGTGTTTCAAATGCCGATTTTGACTGTTTTACTCACTTACATAGATGACTTCTTCCTTGCTTCCAAACTAGACCCGGCTCTGCCAGCCCTAGTGGGAAGCCCAGCCCCGGACCACCCGTCGGCATGAACTCTGTCCAGGGCCATTACATCCAGCAGGTAAGGAATTATTATTATTATTACTACTAATAATAATAATAATACCCGAGGAGCCCCTAATGGCGCAATGGGCTAAACCCTTGTGTCGGCAGGACTGCTGACCGAAAGATCAGTGGTTCAAATCCGGGGAGCAGGGTGAGCTCCCATCTGTCAGCCCCAGCTTCCCATATGGGGACATGAGAGAATCCTCCCACACTACTATATCCGCCCTTTAAATTTCCTTTATTTATTTTTCCTTCATTTTAATCATACTTTCACAGAAAATTTTAATAAAGATTATTTTAAAAATGTATATACAAATATACGAACTGGATTATTGTAAGGTTATTATTAGTAGATGATGATTTTATTAGAATTATTAGTTTATTATTATTATTATGAGATTATTATGAAGGTAAAGGTTTTCCCCTGAATTGTCGAAGGCTTTCATGGCCGGAATCACTGGGTTGTTGTAGGTTTTTTCGGGCTGTATGGCCATGTCCTGACGATTCACCTGCATCTATGGCAAGCATCCTCAGAGGTAGTGAGGTCTGTTGGAACTAGGAAAAGGGGTTTATATATCTGTGGAATGACCAGGGTGAGACAAAGGACTCTTGTCTGCTGGAGCTAGGTGTGAATGTTTCAACTGACCACCTTGATTAGCATACAATGGCCTGACAGTGCCTGGAGCAAACTTTTGTTGAGAGGTGATTAGATGTCCTTGTTTGTTTCCTCTCTGTTGTTGTGCTGTTGTAATTTTAGAGTTTTTTAATACTGGTAGCCAGATTTTGTTCATTTTCATGGTTTCCTCCTTTCTGTTGAAATTGTCCACATGCTTGTGTATTTCAGTGGCTTCTCGGTGTAGTCTGACATGGTGGTTGTGAGAGTGGTCCAGCATTTCTGTGTTCTCAAATAATATGCTGTGTCCAGGTTGGTTCATCAGGTGCTCTGCTATGGCTGACTTCTCTGGTTGAAGGAGTCTGCAGTGCTTTTCATTTGTATGCTAATCAAGGTGGTCATTGAAACATTCACACCTAGCTCCAGCAGACAAGAGTCCTTTGTCTCACCCCTGGTCATTCCACAGATATATAAACCCTTTTTCCTAGTTCCAACAGACCTCACTACCTCTGAGGATGCTTGCCATAGATGCAGGCGAAACGTCAGGAGAGAATGCCTCTAGACCATGGCCATACAGCCCGAAAAACCTACAACAACCCAGTTTCCCCCTGACATTAAGTCCCATCTTGTCCGACTCTGGGGGTCGGTGGTCATCTCAATTTCTAGCCCGAGCTGGCGTTGTCCGTAGACACATCCTAGGCATGACTGCAAGGAGCACCATTACCTTCCTGCCGAAGCAGTCCCTATTGATCTACTCAACATTTTCATGTTTCCAAACTGCTAGGTTGGCAGAAGCTGGGCCTATCAGCGGGAGCTCATGCTGCTCCCTGAATTTGAACCTGCGATCTTTCAATCAACAAGTTCAGCAGCTCAGCAGTTTAACTCACTGTGCCACTGGGGGCTCCTGGATCATTATTAGTAGATGATTGTATTAAATTATTAGGTAGATGATGATTTTATTAGGTTATTATGAGATTATTAATAGTAATGATGATTTTATTGTATTAACTAGGTTATTGTTATTATGAGATTATTATTATTAGATGATTTTCTTAGAGTACTAGCTGTACCCGCCACACTTTGCTGTGGCCAACTTTCCCTCCCTCTTTCTCTCCTTTCTTTCTTTCTTTCTTCTCCTTCCTTTCTTCTTTCCTTCTCTTCCTTCCTTCCCCTCCCTTTTTCTTTCTCTTCCTCTTTCTCTCCTTTCCTCCTTCTCTACCTTTTCTTAGACTGCAACCCCCAGCAGTCGTCCTGATCTATCTATCTACCTACCTACCTCTGTCTAATCTATCTTATCTATCTGGAGGATTGCTGGGAGTTGCAGTCCAGGAATAGGAAATTGGAAATATGCCTAGGGAATGGGATGCTTTCAAAGAAATCCAAGGAGAGGAAAGCTTGCAGCTTGGAAGCAGTGCATTTGGAGCATCCTCCTCTCCTAAAGGGCCTGGTCTAGGGGATGCTAAGAGCTGTCGTTTTCGTACATGCCTTGTATTGTCATTTAGGCTTTTGGGATATTAAAGTCCTTTAGCTGGTTTTTTTTTGGGGGGGGGGGGGTTATAAGTGATGGTCACTCGGTCTGTTAGGAGTGTAGTGTCCAAATTTGGTGTCAATTCATCCAGTGGTTTTTGACTTATGTTAATCCCACAAACAAACTTTACATTTTTATTTACATAGACTAGCTGTACCCACCAGGTTGCTGTGGCCAACCTTCCCTCCTTTCTCTCCTTTCTTTCTCCCCTTTTCTTCTTCCTTCTCTTCTTCTTTCCCCTTTCTCTCCTTTTCTCCTCCTCTGTATCTTCCCTTCCTCTTTCTCCCCTTTCTTCCTTCTCTACCTAATCTTGGACTGCAACTCTTAGCAGTCCTCCAGATCAATCTATCTACCTACCTACCTTCCTACCTACCTATCTCTATCTAATCTATCTATCTATCTATCTATCTATCTATCTATCTATCTATCTATCTATCTATCTATCTGTAGGATTGCAGGGAGTTGCAGTCCAGGGATAGGAAATTGGAAATATTCAGGGATTGCGATGTAGTTTAGCTTTTTTGGTTTTTAAGTCCTTTCTGCTGGTTTTTGTTTTGGGGTGGGGGGGTGGGGGTTCCGAGTGATGGCCACTCGTTGGCCTGATTGGGGTATTGTGTCCAAATTTGTTGCCAGTTTGTCCAGTGGTTTTTAAGTTATGTTAATCCCACAAACGAACATTACATTTTTATTTATATAGACTAGCCGTCCCCTGCCACGCATGTAGCCCACATGGGGGTTCTGTGTGGGAGGATTGGCCCAATTCTATCATTGGTGGGGTTCAGAATGCTCTGTGATTGTAGGTGAACTATAAATCCCAGCAACTACAACTCCCAAATGTCAAGATTCTATTTTCCCCAAACTCCACCAGTGTTCACATTTGGGCATATTGAGTATTCGTGAAGAGTTTGGTCCAGATCCATCATAGTGTTTTTGGCCTACAACTCCCAGAAATCCCACTCAGTTACCAGCTGTTAGGATTTCTGGGAGTTGAAGGCCAAAAACATCTGGGACCCCAGGTTGAGAACCACTGGTGTAGAGTTTGGTCCAGATCCATCATTGTTTGAGTCCACAGTGATCTCTGGATGTAGGTGAACTACAACTCCAAAACCAAAGGACACTGCCCAAAAAACCCTTCCAGTATTTCCTGTTGGTCATGGGAGAACTGTGTGCCAAGTTTGGTACAATTCCATCGTTGGTGGGGTTCAGAATGCTCTTTGATTGTAGGTGAACTATAAATCCCAGCAAATTACAACTCCCAAATGACAAAATCAATTTTTTTGAGTGAAGGACATACATGGGCCTGATAGGTGTATTGTGTCCAAATTTGGTGTCAATTCATCCAGTGGTTTTTGAGTTCTGTTAATCCCACAAACGAGCATTACATTGTTATTTATATAGATTAGGTTATTGTTATTATGATATTATTAATAGGTGATTTTTTTAGAGTATAATGTTATCTGTGATTGTGATGAGATGATGATGGATGATGATGATGATGATAACCCAACCCTTCTCCAGGCTTCTGTAGGCCCTAGCGCTTGTCCTCTCTCTCGCTGACCCACAGGCCAAGCAGCGGCTGGATGAGGGCAAGGGGGGCCTGGGCCCCGTCAAGCAGCTGCCTGACCCTCCTCCCTCGGGCCCCATGAAGCCGCCCCCCCGGACTGGGGCTATCAAGCCGCAAGCCGTCAAAGTGGAGGAGAGCAAGGCCTGAGCCCTGGCCACAACTGCCACCTTCCCCCCCTTGAGGGTGAGAACATGAGAGAATGAGAGGAAGAGGGGAGACCCCACCACTCACCCCACGTCCCCACTTTTTCCGGATGCGCCAAGAGAGACGCCCCTCCCGTCGCTGCAATGCTCTTCACCCACAAAGGAGCCCTCCTTGGTGTCGCTCTGCTTGCAAACAGACAAACAAACCAAGCAACCCCCCTCTTCCCCAACTTCTCCCCGCCGTCTCCATGTGCAAAAACGGCCGATCTTTCGACATTTTTGGGAAAACCGGACAGACGCAGCAGCCTCTTCTTTGGGTTTCCATCGCCGGACTCTTTGTGTTTTCTGCATCGTTTTCCCCTCCCTTTGTTACGGAATCAACATCATGTTTCGTTTCCTTTCTCGGATGGACCCTCCTCTTCCATGGATGTGCGTGTGTGTAAAATGTGTGTGTTAGTATGCGACGCGGAGGTTCCTTACTCTTCCTTCCATGGGAGGCTTCGGGGCCCTTTCCTCCCCTTCTCTCCCATCCAAATAGAAGCAGGAATTGCTTTTTAAAAGGAGTCAAATGTGTACAAAGTCCGACTTGCGAATCGTTCAGAAGCGGCCGATCTCCAAAAATCATGTCGTTTCCTTCCTTTGGGGGTCTTTCTCCTTCCCTGTATTTCCATTTCAGTAAACGGCTCCAAGTTCCTCCTCCCTTGGAATCCATGCCAACAGTATGGAGGGTTTTGTTTATATTTTTGGTATTATTATTTTTATTATTGTTACTATTATTATTTTGTAATATTTCTGAGTTCACAGCTTGCATGGTCTGTTACAGGAGTCCCTCGCCTTGTGCTGAATTGAGATGTATATTTAAGGGTTCGACCCCATGGGTGATGCGTTGCATCCTCTCCCCATGTTTTCCCCAATTTCTTTTGGCGTGTCCCCCATTCATTTTGGATCTTTTTATGGGCTTTTCTCCTTTTGTCCATGTTTAGATGCTTACTTTTTGAGCTACGTTTTGCTTCTTTCCAAAACCTATTGACTCTTCTTCATCTTGATTCTCAATCTTATTTGATCCTTAATTTTCAAAACTTGGGAGGAGTTTATTTTTAAATTTCCCACCACCCCCCAAAGGACAATTTGGTCTAATAATCCCACTAAAAACGAGAAGCCAAAAACGGGCCTCTCTGACCCTTCAGAACAATTGCTCTGTTTTCCTTTGTAAATAATACTCTGTAAACAAAAAGCATTTTCAATTTTAATGGTTGTCTTCTTCCTCCTCTGCTTCCTGCTTAGAAGAAAATATAATTCCCTTTTATTTCTCCCGTTGTTTCTGAGCCTCAAAACGACGTTCCCTTCGTAATTGGGGAGCAAGCTAGACTCATGCAAGTTTGGGGTTTGTTCCATAATTTAAAACAGTCTGGAGTTCTGTCTTTGCAAAGGCCAAACGCTCCCGGCTCTTTCTGACCCAAATAACGCTCTTTTCTTAACGCTCTCAATGCAGCGGGATGGATTTTCTTGGGCGAAAGAATGTATTTCAAGGCTTGGGAGGAATAAACCTGCCGCGGATGATTGATTTTAATTATTTTTCCAAGGTTTCTCCATCTGGATAAAGCAACAGCAGCTCTTTTTCGGGCTTTTTTTCAGTTGCAGTCAAAGTTTCCTCTCTGTCTGTATGTCTGTTGTGTCCCCTCCCTTTGTAGAAAAACCTTCCAAGTAGATGGTTGTTTTTAAATAAAATAAAATGCTAACTTTAGGGGAAACGGAGGGTCATTTCTTCTGTTGGTCGCTGCTTTCTCTCTCTCCAAAACAGGCACGGGCAAACTAAGGCCTGGGGGATGAATGGGGGATGGATGCGGCCCCATATGCACTTACCTCAGGCCCTCATCATTTTGCCTCTACCCTTGGCTTAAGGACAAGGCAGCGTGCTGCGTCCTTATGCCAAAAAGACGGGAGAAGAGGCACAGAGTAGCTGAGAGTCCTCTGGAGCACTCTCGGCCACCATGTGTCTTGCCCTCCTCCTGGCATAAGGATGGTGTAAGCAGCCTCATCCTTATGCCAGGAGGACAGCTCAAGGAAGGCATGTGGCAGCTGAGAACCCTCATGAGTCCTCTCAGCCACCCCGTGCCTTGTCCTCCTCTTGGCGTAAGGATGGTGCAAGTGGCCTCATCCTTATGCCAGGAGGACAGCTCAAGGAAGGAACGTGGTGGCTGAGAGTCCTCTAGAGCGTGTCTTGTCCTCTTGGCATAAGGACGGTGCAAGTGGCCCCATCCTTATGTCGGGAGGAAGCATGTGGTGGCTGAGAGTCCTCTGGACTGCTCTCAATCACCCCGTGTCTTGCCTTCCTCCTGGCACAAGGATGGTGCAAGCAGCCTCATTCTTATGCTGGGAGGACAGCTCAAGGAAGGCATGTGGTGGCTGAGAGTCCTCCAGAGTACTCATCTACAGCCTGTCTCACCCTCCTCCTAGAATAATGCCAAGAGGACAGCCTGAGGTTCGGGGCAGGAGGATTGGGGCAGTCACTGTGTGTCCCACCTTCCTCCCGGCATAAGGATGTGGCATGTAGCCCCGTCCTTATGCTGGGAGGACAATCTGAGGATGATCCAGGACTAGCCCTGGCCCCACCCTCTCGTGGGCCCTACCCCTCGTGGGCCACCCCACCCAGCATGCGAACAGCCCCCCTCCCACCAGGCCCTCCTGGCCTGGCCTGCAGTGTGGCCCCAAGGCAAAAATGTTTGCCTATACCTGCTCTAAAAGAATAATAGTAATAATAATAATAATAATACCCTGTTTCCCTGAAAATAAGACAGTGTCTTATATTACGTTTTGCTCCCAAAGATGGGCTAGGTCTTATTTTCAGGGGATGTCTTATTTTCAATAAAACAGGATAGGTTTGGAATTTGGACTCCTTTCTAGAGAGTCAATTAATTTGGGGTATTTTACAAAACATCTTTCCCCTTTTCTTTCATGCCTTTGAAATGTACAATATTTCTGTGATTTTCTTGAATTTTTCAGGATTTGGCTTCTTGCTTTTGCCCCTTTCTCCAGCTTTTATTATGGCTACAGCTTCACAGAATCGGAGTCAAAATATAAAAGGAAGGTAGCTGTGTTTCATCCATCTTTGAAAAAACCATAAATATAACACTAAATTTATTTATATGTTTATGATGCTGGGAAAAAACTTTACAAATGTCTCACTTCTCTATTTATATATTATTATTACGCTTGGATTTATTCTGTGCAAGAAATTGCCTGCCATTTCCTTCGTTTGCTTTTCGTCGTGGTCGATTTTCCTGCCCTAAATACAGCTATTCCTATTTCGAAGCCACTTTTTAAAGATTTGCAACGTCTTTTTATCTACTGGGTGTTTCCTTTCCAAAAGGAACAATTGTCAATGGCTTTTAGTGCTTCCCAATTAAGCTACATCTTCACTGTTCGCTCCTAGAAAATTGAAATTATCAATAGCTAGGTTTTGGGGATTTTTTCCTTATTTTTGCTTCCGTGCTGCAGACTCCAAGGTTGATTTTGCTGTAAAATCTCAGTAATTTCTAAGCTTTTGAAGGGCTGGCTTTTGCAGAGATGGAAACGTTCATTTGGGATTTTGGACCTCTTTGGTTTCAAGCAAGACCTTTATTTGGGATTTTTTGACCTCTAAGCACGTCCTTTATTTGGGATTTTTCACCTCTTTGGCTTCATGCAGTCTTTTGGGGGGGGGGGGGATTTTTGTCCTTTTTCGTTTCATGCAAGACCTTTATTTGGGATTGTTGACCACTTTGCATTCAAGCAAGGCCTTCATTTGGGATTTTTCACTTGTTTGGTTTCAAGCAAGAGTTTATTTAGGATTTTTGACCCCTTTGGCTTCATGGAAGACCTTCTTTTTGGGAATTTTGACCCCTTTGTCTTAATGGAATACCTTCTTGTGGGATTTCTGACTTTTTTAGGTTTGTTCAAGGCCTTTACTTAGGATTTTCCACTTTGGTTTCATGGAAGACCTTTATTTAGGATTTTCCAACTCTTTGGTTTCATGAAAGACCTTTTTTTGGGATTTTTGACTTTTTTAGTTTCGTGCCTTTAGGATTTTCCGCCTCTTTGATTTAATGCAAGATCTTTATTTGGGATTTTTGGCCCCTTGGGCTTCATAGAAGACCTTCTTTTTGGGATTTCTGACTTTTTTTGTTTCATGCAAGGCCTTTATTTGGGATTTTCCACCTCTTTGGCTTCATGCAAGACCTTTATTTGGGATTTTTGGCCCCTTGGGCTTCATGGAAGACCTTCTTTTTGGGATTTCTGACTTTTTTTGTTTCATGCAAGGCCTTTATTTGGGATTTTCCACCTCTTTGGCTTCATGCAAGACCTTTATTTGGGATTTTTGGCCCCTTGGGCTTCATGGAAGACCTTCTTTTTGGGATTTCTGACTTTTTTTGTTTCATGCAAGGCCTTTATTTGGGATTTTCCACCTCTTTGGCTTCATGCAAGACCTTTATTTGGGATTTTTGGCCCCTTGGGCTTCATGGAAGACCTTCTTTTTGGGATTTCTGACTTTTTTTGTTTCATGCAAGGCCTTTATTTGGGATTTTCCACCTCTTTGGCTTCATGCAAGACCTTTATTTGGGATTTTTGCCCTCTTTGGTTCCCTTCCAACTCCTTTGAACAAAATACTAAGGATGTGAATTGGTCTTCATGTGGTTGGCAGAGCGGTCATTTGGGGGGCTCAGTTCCTCTTTTTCTGGCTTGTTTTGGGGCCTTGGTGTGATTTGTAGTTTCCGCAGCATCCTATTGTAGGGCTTTTGACGTGTGGCTGCAGCATTTCCCTCCCCTCTTGGTGTAAATGGCATTATCGTTTGTTTTCCACAAGAGGAAATTATGCTCCTTTCTTCCTGTGCAGTCTTCCTTCCTTCTTCCCTTCCTTTCCTTTCCTTTTTTGGCCTTTCCTCCTCTCTGACTTTTTGGCGCAGAGAAAATATCCAAAAGGGGCAAAAACAGCGACTAATGTGTTTTAGAGCCTTTTTGTCTTTCTTTGGTGGGGGGAAAGAACTCTTCACATGGACGGGGTGCCCTCTCTTCCCTCGTTTTTTTTCTTCCCCCTTTGGATTTCCTCCTTTCAGGTCTGTGATGATTGTATTAGCACTCTCTCTTTTCCATCTGGAAGAATTCTCCTTATTTAAATAATAAAAAACCACGTGAAAAAGCAGGAGGCTCTGACCCACATGTTCGCATCCCTGTCCCCTCTTCAAAAACCTTTCCTTCCGGCTTTTGCAGCTCCGGAATACTCATTGCAAAACCCTTGAATTTGAGAAGGTGGCGGGCGATAAACTTGTTAGTTTTCAAGCAGCCATCATCTTAATAAGCTGATGATTCGACCACTAATTATAATAATGCATTTGTTGCTTACATAAGCTCCATCACTCCTTCCCACCTGTTACTAAGGGGGCTGTAAAGGTCCTGAACCAGTGCTTGGCAGCTGTGACGGTCTGGATGAGGGCGAACAAATTGAAATTGAATCCAGACAAGACAATGGTCCTCTTGGTCAGTTGCAAGGCCAAACAGAGCGCAGGGTTACAGCCTGTGCTGGATGGGGTTACAGTCCTCCTGAAGACACAGGTTTGCATCTGGGGAATCATCATGGATTCATCATTGAGCCTGGAATCTCAGTTTTCAGTGGTGGCCAGGGGGCTTTTGCACAGTTTATTTATTGGATTGTCGAAGGCTTTCATGGCTGGAATCACTAAGTTCTTGTGGGTTTTTTTGGGCTATAGGGCCATGTTCTAGAGGCATTTCTCCTGACGTTTTGCCTGCATCTATGGCAAGCATCCTCAGAGGTAGTGAGGTCTGTTGGAAGTAGGAAAAGGGGTTTATGTAGAGGGATCCTCTCACCTCTGCAGGAGTCTACCGTGTACCATGCAGCTGTGGACAAGTCTACATAGGGACCACCAAACGCAGCATTGCCCAAACACGAATCAAGGAACATGAAAGGCACTGCAGACTACTTCAACCAGAGAAATCAGCCATAGCAGAGCACCTGATGAACCAACCTGGACACAGCATTTTATTTGAGAACACAGAAATGCTGGACCACTCTCACAACCAACATGTCAGACTACACAGAGAAGCCATTGAAATACACAAGCATGTGGACAATTTCAACAGAAAGGAGGAAACCATGAAAATGAACAAAATCTGGCTACCAGTATTAAAAAACTCTAAAATTGCAACAGCAAAACAACAGAGAGGAAGCAGGCAGGGACATCTAATTACCTCTCAACAAGAGTTTGCTCCAGGCAAAGTCAGCCCATTGTATGCTAATCAAGGTGGTCAGTTGAAACATTCACACCTAGCTCCAGCAGACAAAAGTCCTTTGTCTCACCCTGGTCATTCCACAGATATATAAACCCCTTTTTCCTAGTTCCAACAGACCTCACTACCTCTGAGGATGCTTGCCATAGATGCAGGCGGAACGTCAGGAGAAATGCCTCTAGAACATGGCCATATAGCCCGAAAAAACCTACAAGAACTTAGTATTTCCAGCCATGATTTATTTATTTACGGCATTTATATGCCGCCCTTCTCACCCCTAAGGGGACTCAGAGCGGCTTACAATATATATTTTCCTACAATATATTATTAGCATAGTACAATATTATATATTACAATATTGCACTATACCATTATATTGTAATATTATTAGTAATATTACATGTAATGTAAATATATAATTATAATATTGTATTATTATTACTAGTATTATTTTGTATTACAATATTATAAATATTATACGTACATACAATATACTATATTACTAGTAAAGACAGAAGACAAGATGGAAATGTCTTCTGCTCCCCTCTGCTTTCGCTTAAAGTTAAAGCTTGTGTGCCAGTTGCGCTTATACCTTGGGAATTCTGTGAGATGACTGTGAGAGTTGTTCAGCAGTGGAACTCTCTGCCCCGGAGTGTGGTTGAGGCTCCTTCTTTGGAAGCTTTTAAACAGAGGCTGGATGGCCATCTGTCAGGGGTGATTTGAATGCAATATTCCTGCTTCTTGGCAGGGGGTTGGACTGGATGGCCCATGAGGTCTCTTCCAACTCTGATTCTATGATTCTGACCTGGCCATAGTGGTCTACGCTCTTGTTACATCGAGAATAGACTACTGCAGTGCACTCTACATGGGGTTGCCTTTGAAGACTGCTCAGAAGCTCCAACTAGTCCCAATGGACGCCAGCCAGGTTGCTCACCGGAGCGGCAAACAGAGAGCACACAACTCCACTGTTACGTCAGTTCCACTGGCTACCCGTCTGCCACCAAGCACAATTCAAAGTAAAGTAGCCTGTAAAGCCCTAAACGTTTCTGGTCCAGCTTACCTGTCTGAACGTACCTTCTGCTACGAACCATTGCGAAGTCTAAGATTGACAGGAGAGTGTGGTTGGTGGAGGTGAGTGACAGGGCTTTCCTTCTCAGTGGTGGAACTATCCCCAGTGACATTGGATTGGCGCTCTTCCTCTTGTCCTTTAGAATGAAACTCAAAGCCTGACTATGGGACCAAGCGTTCGAACAGTACAGGAAGCCATTTAGAATGAGACCCAATTTATGTAAATGACCATGGACATGATTTCAAACCTGCGTGATTTAAACAATGCTTTCATAATTTTAAAGCATTAATGAATTGTTTTAATTGTTTTTATCATTTATTACTGTTGGCATTAAATGAATGCCTGTTGTGAAGCTGCCTTGAGTCCCCCTTTCCTCCCTTCTCCTCGTTTTTGTCTTTTTCACTTATTGGAAATGCAGAGAGAGTTGGGGAGTGCTCCATTGATTGAAGGGGAAATGCTGGAGGAAAAGGGGGCATCGGATAAGATGGAATGTCGGATAAGCGAGACTCTATAATGTATCTCTTGCTAATAATAAATCTTTGTCTCCCGCTTTTCTCCCAGAAAGGGACCCAAAGTGGCTTACAACATATTAAAAGCAATACAAGTCCAAAACAATAATCATATACAACACTTAAATGCCATAGATGCAGGCGAAACGTCAGGTGAGAATGCCTCTAGACCATGGCCATATAGCCCGAAAAAACCTACAACAACCCAGTGATTCCGGCCATGAAAGCCTTCGACAATACACTTAAAAACATTATTATTTTACTGACACAAAAACACAGTATGCTACAGCAAACAAGATATATATGCTGGATTTTGTACATTATTATTATTATTATTATTAGTCTTAGCAAGAAATACATGGTTATATTAGTCTTAGTAAGAAATACATTATTATTATTATTATTATTATTATTATTATTATTATTATTATTAGACTGAGCAGGAAATACATTAGTATTACTAGTTTTTTAAGATATATCCAATATGTCAATGATTAATACCTTATTGATGTATTGCTATCATAAAATTTCAATAAAAAGATTACAAAAAAAACACATTAGTATTACTATTAGCCTTTGGTTTTAAATATTTATGTTTCATTTTATAGATGGATATCTTGCGCAGTCTAATCGTAAAGGTAAAGGTTTCCTCAGGACATTAGGTCTAGGTGCTCACCTCCATTTCTAAGCCAAAGAGCCGGCTTTGTTCGTAGATGCCTCCCAAGGTCATGTGGCCATTGGCAATGCTGCATGGAGCGCTGTTCTCTTCCCGCAGAAGCGGTACCTATTGATCTACTCACACTTGCATGTTTTCAAACTGAAAAGGTTGGCAGGAGCTGGGGCTAACAGCAGGAGCTCACCCCCCCTCCCCAGATTTGAACTGTCAGCGGTTTAACCCACTGGGCCACCATACTCTAATCATAATATATTTCCAGCTTGGTCTAATAATAATAATAAATTTATTTCTTCCTCAGTCCAATAATAATGATTTTTTTTGCTCAGTATAATATTTTGCTCAGTCTAATAATAGTAATAAGATATTTCTTGCTCAGTACAACAATAATGTATTTCTTGCTCAATCTAAAAATAATTTTATTTAGCCTTATAATAATAATAATAATGTATTCCTTACTCAGTCCAATAATAATTAGGATTTTTTGTTCAGTATAATAATATATATTTTGCTCGGTCTAATAATAATAATAATAATAATAATAATAATAATAATGTATTTCTTGCTAAGCATAACAATGTTATTTCTTGAATTTTTATTTAGCCTAATAATAATAATAATAATAATAATAATAATTTATTCCTTACTCAGTCCAATAATAATGTTTTGCTCAGTATTATAATATATATTTTGCTCAGTCTAATAATAATAATAATGTATTTCTTGCAAAGCATAATAATAATAATGTTATTTCTTGCATTTTTATTTAGCCTAATAATAATCATCATCATCATGCATTTGGTTCTAAGTCTAATAAGAATTTGTTAATCAGTCTAATAATATTTCTAGCTCGGTTGAGTAATAATATATTTGTTAGTCTAATAATAATGTATTTGTTACTCGGTCTAATATTGTATGTACTACTCAATTTAATAATAAATAATTATAATAAATAATAAATATATGAATTAAATATAATGAATAATTTAATAATAATAATTTAATAATGTATTTCTTGCTCAGTATAATATAAATAAATAATAATAGCCTATGCTGCATTGAGTCTCCTTTTAGGAGGGATGCCAGATATAAATATTATTACTCTAATAATAATAATAAATATATGAATTAAATATAATGAATAATTGAATAATAATTAATAATTTAATGTATTTCTTGCTCAGTATAATATAAATATTATTTAACAATTATGCTGAGCAAGAAATACATTATTACATTATTATTAAATAATAATTCATAATTTAATGTAATAATATATTTCTTGCTCAGTATAATTATTACTATATTATACTGAGCAAGAAATACAGTATTATTACATTATTAATTATTTAATTATTCATTATGTTTAATTCATATATTATTATTTATTATAATTATTATTAGATTAATATTTATGAAAAGGAGATTCAAAGCAGCATAGGCTATTATTATTATTATTATTATTATTATTATTATTATTATTATTATTCCCTCTTCAAAAATATATAGCAAATGGGATAATCATGAATTCAAGGCCTCTAAAGCCCATCAGAAGGAACACAAAGCCCATGAGGCCATTTTGGAAGGCATCACTGCAAAACAGGCCTCAGTTACCATGGCGACTGGCCTAGGCCGTTTTAGGCCCCGCCCACACGCTTCCTTACGGCGTGGTGTGACGTCACATCCGGTGTTCTCGTTCCGAGAGAGGCGTCCTCCGAGTAGAGAGGTAAGCCGGTGCTCGAGCGGCAGGAAGAGATCACGTGGTCGCCTTTTCTGCTTCCCCCTTTTTGTTGAAAGTGGTACGGCCCGCTTTGGCTGGGTCTCAATGGAGGGCTGGGCGGGCGCATTGAGGAAATAGGGGTGCGTGCTGAAATCAAACTCCCTTTCAAGAGAAGTTGGAGCAAAGCCGACTAGGAGCGATGGAAAGGGCTTCAATTTAGAATATGTCTGATAATAAGGACTTCCCGGGGGAAGTGATTGAAACCTAGGAAAAGAAGAGAAAAGTGGGGAAAAGATGGCTTGAGGAAAAGGGGGCGGGTCTTGCAGTGAAGCCTGGGACTGGAAGGCCAAACACAGCTGAAGCCTGTCAATGCTGTTCTGCATTGCAACCAACTCTTATTTATTATTGCAATAGTTACTTATTATTGCACATCTAAATCCTGCAACAAACTCTATTTTATTATTGCAACAGTTACTTCTTATTTCACATCTAAATCCTGAAACAAACTATTTCATTATTGCAACAGTTACTTATTATTGCACATCTAAATCTTGCAACAAACTCTATTTTATTATTGCAACAGTTACTTATTATTGCACTTCTAAATCTTGCAACAAACTCTATTTTATTATTGCAATAGTTACTTATCATTGCACTTCTAAATCTTGCAACAAACTATTTCATTATTGCAACTGTTATTTATTATTGCACATCTAAATCCTGCAACAAACTCTATTATTGCAACAGTTACTTATTATTGCACATCTAAATCCTGCAACAAACTCTATTTTATTATTGCAAATGTTACTTATTATTGCACATCTAAATCCTGCAACAAACTGTATTTTATTATTGCAACAGTTACTTATTATTGCACATCTAAATCCTGCAACAAACTCTATTTTATTATTGCAATAGTTACTTTTATTGCACGTCTAAATCCTGAAACAAACTCTATTTTATTATTGCAACAGTTAATTATTATTGCACATCTAAATCCTGAAACAAACTCTATTTCATTATTGCAACAGTTACTTATTATTGCACATCTAAATCCTGCAACAATCTCTATTTTATTATTGAAACAGTTACTTCTTATTGCACATCTAGATACTGCAACAAGCTCTATTTTATTATTGCAACAGTTACTTCTTATTGCACATCTAGATACTGCAACAAACTCTATTTTATTAATGCAACAGTTACTTATTATTGCATATCTAAATCCTGCAACAAACTCTATTTCATTATTGCAACAGTTACTTATTATTGCACATCTAAATCCTGCAACAAACTGTATTTTATTATTGCAGCAGTTACTTATTATTGCACATCTAAATCCTGCAACAAACTGTATTTTATTATTGCAGCAGTTACTTATTATTGCACATCTAAATCCTGCAACAAACTCTATTTTATTAATGCAACAGTTACTTATTATTGCACATCTAAATCCTGCAACAAACTGTATTTTATTATTGCAGCAGTTACTTATTATTGCACATCTAAATCCTGCAACAAACTCTATTTTATTATTGCAACAGTTACTTCTTATTGCACATCTAAATCCTGCAACAAACTCTATTTTATTATTGCAACAGTTACTTCTTATTGCACATTTAAATCCTGCAACAAACTCTATTTTATTATTGCAACAGTTACTTATTATTGCACATCTAAATCCTGCAACAAACTCTATTTTATTATTGCAACAGTTACTTCTTATTGCACATCTAAATCCTGCAACAAACTGTATTTTATTATTGCAGCAGTTACTTATTATTGCACATCTAAATCCTGCAACAAACTGTATTTTATTATTGCAGCAGTTACTTATTATTGCATATCTAAATCCTGCAACAAACTCTATTTTATTAATGCAACAGTTACTTATTATTGCACATCTAAATCCTGCAACAAACTGTATTTTATTATTGCAGCAGTTACTTATTATTGCACATCTAAATCCTGCAACAAACTCTATTTTATTATTGCAACAGTTACTTCTTATTGCACATCTAAATCCTGCAACAAACTCTATTTTATTATTGCAACAGTTACTTCTTATTGCACATCTAAATCCTGCAACAAACTCTATTTTATTATTGCAACAGTTACTTATTATTGCACATCTAAATCCTGCAACAAACTCTATTTTATTATTGCAACAGTTACTTCTTATTGCACATCTAAATCCTGCAACAAACTCTATTTTATTATTGCAACAGTTACTTATTATTGCACATCTAAATCCTGCAACAAACTCTATTTTATTATTGCAACAGTTACTTCTTATTGCACATCTAAATCCTGAAACAGACTGTTACTTATTATTGCAATTGTTGTTTATTATTTCACATTTAAATCCTGCAACAAACTCTATTTTATTATTTCACATCTAACTCTGCAACATTTATTTATTATTGCAACTTATTTATTGTTGCACATTTAAATCCTGCAAAAAACTGATGCTTATTATTGCAACAAATTGTTATTTATTATTTCACATTTAAATTCAGCAACAAAGTTATGTAACTTGTCTTCTTAAATCAGTTAATCATAATAGCAACCAATATCCCTGTTGCCATATATATAATATATAATATAATATTTCGCATTAAGGATATGTTTTGAAGTCTGCATGGTATTTTTAAAGTCAGATTTAAATTTTAATTAATATTTAATTAAAATAATAATAATACATTATTATTCAATTTATCTTTTTATGGAATCTCATAATAATAATAATAATAATAATAGTAATGGTATTTATTTTGTTTCGGCATCGAATTGTGCCGACTGTGTATACCTCCCTGAGTCGCCTTCGGGCTGAAATGGGCGGGATAGAAATAATGTAAATAAATAATAAAAATAAAATAATAAAATAATAATTATAATAATAATTCATTTCCTTGTGTTGTCGAAGGCTTTCCATAACTTGCTGGGAGGTTTCGGGGCTGCCTGGCCATGTTCCAGAAGCATTCTCTCCTGACGTTTAACCCACATCTATGGCAAACATCCTCAGAGGTTGTGAGGTATGTATATATAGGAAATGAGGCAAGTGGACTGTATATATATATATATCCATGTGGAATGATGTCCAAGGTGGGAGAAAAAAGGAACTCTAATGTGAATGCCTTTTTGAGGCAAGTATAAAACAGAAAGGAGGAAATCATGAAAATGAATAAAATCTAACTCCCACTATTTAAAAACTCTAAAATCAGGACAGTAAATAAAGAACAACTCTTCAACAGCAGAGGAATTGCAGACAGGAAACCATCACCTCCTAACCAAGGCAGGAAGCAGCCAGACTTTGGAGCTGCAAGGCCATTCAGTGCTAATCAAGGTGGCCAATTACAACATTCACACTTGCCTCCAATAGACAAGAGTTCTTTCTCCCACCCTGGACATCATTCCACAGATATATAAACCCCACTTGCCTAGTTTCCAACAGGCCTCAAAACCTCTGAGGATGCCTGCCAGAGATGTGGGCAAAACGTCAGGAGAGAATGCTTCTGGAACAGGACTAGGCAGGCCGGAAAACTCACAGCAACTGAATTCATTTCCATCCTGCTTTTCTCCAGGTCAATGGAATCTCCTCCTCCAAATAATAACTCCTGTTGTTTTTCCTCTCTTCCCTCCTTCCCTGCATTTCAGGCCGCGATGCTGGGCTTCCTGAAGCACCCGGTGATCTTCTCAGTGGAAGTCAATGCGAATGTGGTGCTTCTGTCTGTTCTGGGGCTCCTGACCCGCTTGTGGGGCCTCTCCCACCCCAGGGCCGTCGTGTGAGTACTCCCATTAGAACATGCATAAGGATGTGGGTGAACTACAATTCCCAGCATAGTGGGTCAGTCTTCCCCAATTTTCACCTACATTCACAGTTGGCCATGGTGGGTCTGTCTGCCAAATTTGGTCCACATCTGTCGTAATTTGGGTTCACAATGCTCTCTGGATGCAGGTGAACTATAACTCCCAGATTCCAAGGTCAATTACCCCCAAATCCTGCCAGTATTCAAAGTTGATCGTGTTAGGTCTGTGTGCCAAGTTTGGTCCAGCTCCGTTGTCATCTGGGTTCACAATGCTCGCTGGATATGGGTGAATTATAACTCCCAAATTCCAAGGTCAGTTACCCCCCAAACCCTGCTAGTATTCAAAGTTGACCATGTTAGGTCTGTGCACCAAGTTTCGTCCAGATCCATCACTGGCTGTGTTCACAATGTTCTCTGGATGGAGGTGAACTATAACTCCCAGATTCCAAGGTCAATCACTCACAATTTTCGCCAGTATTCACAGTTGGCCATGTTTGGTCTGTGTGCCAAGTTTGGTCTAGATCCGTTGTTGTTTGGGTTTACAATGCTCTTAGGATGTAGGTGAACTATAACTCCCAGATTCCGAGGTCAATTACTCCCAGACCCTGCCAGGATTCAAAGTTGACCATATTAGGTCTGTGTGCTAAATTTAATCCAGATCTGTCATTGTTTGGCTTCACAGTGCTCTCTGGATGCAGGTGAACTATAACTCCCAGATTCCAAGGTCAATCACTCACAATTTTTGCTAGTATTCACAGTTGGGCACATTGGATATATGTGCCAAGTTTGGTCCAGATCTGTCATTGTTTAAGTTCACAATGCTCTCTGGATGTAGGTGAACTATAACTCCCAGATTCCAAGGTCAGTTACCCCCAAACTCTTCCAGTATTCACAGTTGGCCATGTTGTGTGTGTGTGTGTGTGTCAAGTTTGGTCCAGATCCGTAATTGGCTGGG